GCATGACAATCAGATAGTATACATGGGATGATTTCAATTCCTTTGCATTTACTTCAGCATGTTTTATGGGTTTATATGTGATGTATTTTGGAGAAGAACCCATGTGTGGCTGAAAAGAGTATGTATTCTGATATTGTGGATTAGAACATTCTATAAACATCTATTAATCCATTTGTGCACAAGTTTGGTTCAGTTCTGTTATTTCTTTGTTGATTTTTTTGTTTAATGGCTATGTCTCTTCGTGACAACCGAGTGTTGAATCATCCAGTTATGATTGTGTTATTGCTTACTTGATTTTTTATGCCTATTAATATCTGTCTGATATAGTTGGGTGCTCCAGTATTTGGAGCATATATATTTATGATTTTTCTCTTTTTTTTTTTTGCTGTTTTCCTTTAACAAATATGTAATGACTTTCTTTGTCTCTTTTACTCTGTCTTGGGTTGAAGTTCACATTGTTTAAAAATAAAATAACTACTCTTAATTTTTTCTGGGTTCCCGTGGCATAGAGTATTGTGTACCATCCTTTGACTTTCAGCCTATGAATTTCCTGTTGGGTTAGATCAGTTTCTTGTATACAGAATATGGTTGGATGGTGTTTCTTGATCCATTCTGCCAGTCTTTGGTAGATCCAAGTCAGATCTCAGAAAAGTGTTGTGTATTCCAGTCAGGTGTGCACTACAATTTGTCTTGGGTATGGGTCTGATCTAGGTCACTGGATGGGGGGACTGGGACTGGTCTTCTGTTGCTGGTGTTCTCCCTGAACCATTTGATATAAAATGGTGGCCCCACCCTCTTGCTTCCATCCCAAATGTCTGTGTGTCAAAACACAATGTTGATTCACCTAATTTACCAACTGTGGATAGTTTTCTCACTGCTGCACCAAACTTACACTATATTAGTTGCACCTTCCCAGCTTGTGCACCCCCAGTAGGGCCTGCTGTTTTCACAGTCCTGCCTCAACCAGTGTGTACACCACTGTGGGGCCTGCTGGGTCACTGGTACTCGCTGGGCAGGAGTGTGCCTCTTTCTCTGCTTTTAACACATATTCAGTTAGCTAGCAAAGAGTATTTTTGTGTCTTATTCACCTGACTTCCTTTTGTCTTCCCCTGAACCAGAACAGTTTTTGAAAGGTTGAAATTCACTGCTCTGACCATTAGAGCCCAACATTTGTTTCTATTTTATCAGTTTACTCAGCATCCTAAATTTTCAGTATGTCTACATCACAATTTACACATAGTAACCCAATTTTTTATTAAAAAAATTCAGTTCAAAACTCTTAGCCATGCTTCCACCTCTAACTTGTGTGACCCTTTCCAATATTTTCAATGAAGCTCTGTTTCCCCACACTACTGCCCATAACTATAGTCATGCTCATAGCCATAAAAAAAAGCCTCATTTACTGGGTTCAGGGAACATGAAATGAGGGAATTTTTCACAGATGCATTAGCTTTTCTGTTACTTGGATGCAGTGCCCAACACTCACAAATTAAGAGAAGAGAGGTTTAGTTTAGCTTACAGTTTCAGGGAAGTTAGTACATGGTGAGCAGGCTCCAAGGCCTAAAATTCATAGTGGAAGAGCACAGTGGTACAAAGCTACTTAGTTTTGTGGTCATCAAGCACATCAGGGGAATAGTACTTGAAAAGAAGGGGCAAAAGACAAGATACATTACCCAAGGTATGCCACCCAATATAGCCAAAAGTGCACTCCATTGATCCTGTGGGAGGCTCCCAAGTCAATTAATATGACAGAATCAAGCTTACCCATCACAACAGAGTGACTTTACCATCCCCATTCTCTGAAGTACAGGTAGAAAGGTAACAAACAAACATTGTAAATAAAAAATATAAGTAAAGGCATGCATGAGCCATGGAATATCTAGGGTCAGAGTATTTAGAGTTGAAATCCCTAGTCTGCTATGGTAGCTGTGTTATGTTAGCAAACTTACTGTATTTAACTTTGTTGAGCTTCACTTCAGGATTACAAGTTTGAGACCAGCCTCATCACCTTAGTGACTTAGTGTGATCCTGCCTTAAAAAAATAATATATATATATATATGGATAATTACATAGTTCATTGTGAGGCCCTGGGTTTAATCTCTAGTGCTATAAAATTATATATAAATACATGCTGAAAATTATTTATGTCTGCCTTTCTGGGTGTGTTGGTGAGGACAGAATATAAACTTGAGTGATTTTTCAATTCATCCAGAGGATTGATGAAACATATTTCCAGATGTGTGGGTTGGTAACAGAGGCATGCACCTAGGTCTATCTCTGGTCTCTCGCTCCTTGTTCTGTGGCACTGTTTCCCTGTTCTGTAACCCAGGTGCCAAGAACTAGGAAACTTTACTCTGCGGCGTTCTTCTGCCATGATGTTTCTGCCTTGGAGCAACCACATCATATACTGAATCCCCAGGAACTAAGAGCCAAATTAAATTTCCTTTAAACTGTGAGTGTAAGGTATTAGGTCCCAACAGCAGGAAAGCTGACTAATACACCAAAAGTTTTGAGGCTTCAAATAAATCATGTAAAATATCTCTTAATGAAGAAAATGAATCTCCAATATAGCAGTAAAGAGGCTTGTTTGTTTGGTTGGGGTTTTTATTTTGTAAATAATAGTAAACTCTGACAGTGTTCTTGAATTTGGGAGAAATTTTTAGAAAAGCAAATTGAAACCAAGCCAAAGTAGGTATTTAGAGATTAGGAGAATTTAGGAGTTAACAGAGAATGAAGTGTTTAAATTCAAAGTTTTAGAGAATTGTCAGAGCTAGGCAATTTACTTGGAATTTCTTTGTAACTCATTAATGTTTTGCTAATTGTCTGGCACTCCAGTTACACTACATGTTTCATGAGGATATTTATCCTGTGTGTTATGTTCACTAGTATATATTCAGTACCTTGCACCATTCCTGGAACATGATAAATGTTTAATAAATATTTGTCACTACTTTAGCGTTCAGGGAAATACAAATCAAAACTACACTGATATTCCCCCATTCAGAGTGGGTATCATCAAGAATGTGAAAATCAATAAAAGCTGGTGAAAGGGCACTGGGAAAAAGTAACCGTTTTATGCTGCTGGTGGGAATGTAACTTAGTACAACTACTATGAAAACCAATATGGAGGATCCTCAAATATCTATTAATATAAAGCCTGGTGTGGTGGTTATCATAAAAATTTGCTGCACTCTGGGAGGCTGAGGCAGGAAGATTACAAATTCAAATCCAGCCTGGACAACTTGGTGACTTAGAAAGATTCTATCTCAAAATAAAAAATAAAAAGGACTCAATATACAGTACACTGCAATGACTCTGGTTCAATCCCTAGTACCATAAAAATAATATAAAATAAAGTAACATAACTGCCATATGTTCACCTCTGCCACTGTTTGATAAATATCCAAAGGAATTAGAGTAAAAGTGAACATGCTATAGAGATACCTTCATACACATGATTATTTCAGCACAATTGACAAGACCCGAGATTTGGAACCAGCCTAGGTGCCCATCAGCCGATGATAAGACAAAGAAATTTGTTACATATACACAATGAAAGAACAAAATTACAACATTTCCAGAAAAATGAATGGAACTGACATTTATCATCTTAATCGAAATAAGCCACATCCTGAAAGACAAGCATTACAGGCTTTCCATAATATGTGGAACCTTTAAAAATGATGACAAGAAAGTAGAGGGAAACAAAAAAAAGACATTTAGTTTCAACAGTGTAAGCACCTGCCTGGCGAGCGCGAGGTCACGAGTTGGATCCCAGGTACCAAAACACAAAAACAAAAAACAAAAAATAAATAAATAAAAACCAAAAAAAGAGAGTACAGGGAGAATGTTAATAGACAAGAGAAAGGGCATAGTCAGAAGAGGAAGGGGAAGGGAAAATAACAAGGGAAATAACATTATATGCATGTAAGAAAATGCCACAATGAAGCCCAATACTTTGCAAAATTAATATGCAGTGATACAAAATATACGTAATGGAAATAAATATTTGTTGAAGGAATAAACAGTGGGGAAGGGAAGAGGGGTCAAAAATTTCAAGAGTTCAAGCATGGATGACAGAGAAATGTGGAAGGTTAGGAGTGCACAGGAAACACTGTTTGAGAAATCCGTAATTCATTTTAGAGATTGCATTCAGTAAAATTTCCATTTGTGTGTAATTGTACGTCTGATAAGAATTTTGGGTGGAATTAGACTATTATTCATTAGCATATGAATAGCAATTCCTGTCCTATGGGAGGCAGGGTTATGACTTAGAAGTGACGTCAGAGAGAGTGCGACAGAAGCCGAAGGAGGGTAGGCCTGAGAAGTGGTTGTGCTGAGGCGGACAGTAAGGGAGCCAGAGAAAGAAGAAATATGAGTAAATATAGCAGAGATTGGCTTTGGGAAGACAATGAAAGACACCACAGAAGGCATGAGTATTACCATGAGGATCCAGGAGAAAGCTACTCACAGTAAGAATACAGATACTTTACATATCTCATTTGACAGACTGAAATTCCTTGGTTACGTTAAAATGTTTTAAGGAATGGTGGACGGGGCGAAACCATTAGTTTGTGACAATACCTATGCAGGTTAATCACTGTCTCAGGTAGAATACAGTAATGAAAAGATAATAGAATTTACTTCATAACGAGCTGTGAAAGATTGGTGACTGGTACTTTACTGAGGTGTGGCAGGCATATTTTAATACTTTCAAAATGGAACTGGATGAGGCTTTTCAGTTGAAAATGGACAATGTAAAATTAGACTATAATTTGTGGTATCCCTGAGACAGTGTTTGGGGAAGAAGTCTTCGAGAGTGTTCTAGAATTCTAAACCCCTGTTTGCCAGTCTCCTGCTGTGTGATTGTGACCCTTTCCTCAAGCTCCGCCCACTCCCTTTTCCTATAGGCTATGGGTCTCTTTACTTTTTTCATTGGTCTTCAGCGACTTTTGGCCCCACCTACTGGGGGGTAAAGGCATTCTCCAAATAGGACCTTCTGCCTTTAGTTTAGCTAGGACACGTGTTGGGAAATTGGGGAGCTTTCGTGTTGAGTATCGGATTTACAAAATCAGACCTTTATTTCTTTTAAATTAATAAATACCATATCTGGCAAGTAAATAAATTAGTTGGATCGGCAGGATCAGTCGGAACTGAAAGGAGGTGCGATTTAGATTTAATGTTGGAACATCGGGGTGCTTTTAGCCACGGACTTGGGTACTTCCGGGAGGGAATGGGCGGGTTGAAAATTGTGTTTAGCGGGTTTCGCTTTGTTTCTAAATACTTGAGCATTCGGTAGCCACTCGCGCCACATTTTGGAGGACGCAGAGAGGCTGCCAACGCCGAAAAAGTCTTCTTCGGGCTCTCTGATGGCCACATCTGTGGTGAGTACCCGGCAGCGGCAAGGCACCCGGCTCTGGTGCTTGGGCGGTGGAGGGGAGGGGCGCTGGCCGCTGCTGATCACGTGGGCAAACGGCGAATCAGGTTCTGGCCCGCAAGCTTCTGGGGCGGGGCCCACTTTGCTGTCCCCCCACAAACGCTGGCACGCGTGCGTGCATACACACTTAGGGACACAGACTGATGTGAGATCGCGCTCACATTGCGGAAAGAGGTGTGAGCATAGAAAGTTTGAATGTTGGAGTCTGTTTTCTATGGCTTACATTCTCATTTCATTAGCTCCCACTCTAAAAATCACTTTTGATCTCCTGAGGAAAAAAGTGAATCTCATGATTTATTTTATTTTTAATTCGCATAAAATACCTAACCCTGTAAATAGCTGGGGAAAGATGTAGTTAATTCTAAATCCTGAGTGAACTTCATCAGTATTTCTTTTCCTAGATTTATCAGTTCTTTGACCAACAAAGGTGAATGTGAGAAAGTTTGTGTGGAACTGCTTAGTTTATCAAGTAGTTGTAGAACTTCATTTTTAGCCTTTTTTTAAAATTCAACTTTGAGATTGGTCATAATTTCTCTCTTGAAAAGAAATCAACTCTTTCATAGTTTATTCGGTGACAACTCACTCCCTCCACTTAAGGTTCGGGCTGCATCATTTTAAGATAATTTGTAAAACATTAAAAGTCCTCTTTTGCTTAAGTTGTCAAGCAAAGACTATAAATTTATGTGGAGATAGAAGAAACCAAACAGATTAATAAGAGATGATCATGCGCTAAAGACATACAGCTAAAATTAGTGGAAACTTTTAAAAATGGAAACATTCGAGCCCTGATCTTTAAAATATCCAAACTTACATAAAAGAATATAAATTATGTGTACAATTACATCGTGGTGCAAATAAATCTTCAGCTCTTGTTGGAAATTTTGTTCTTATTAGGGGTTGGAGGAATGGTAATCCACCTTTCTGGAATGATTTTTGTAGGATTTTAAAACTTACGTAGACCAAGCATGCAAAGCTGCTGAGGAATTTATCAATATTTATTATGAGACAATGGACAAGAGAAGAAGGGTGAGTGCTGTACTCTCTTCTGTTCTTTATTAAATACTAGTTCTTTTTTATTGTTGAGCTAGCTTCTTATCAGACCTGCCTAAGCAATAACTGTAGATTTATTATTTAAAAGTCAGTTGCTTGCAGAATTGCTATGGTGTTGGTGAATTATTTTTTGTCTTTCCCTAGTTTCATTACCTCAGATGAGTTGCTAACTTCCCTTAACCTCTTTTTAATTTTAGGATAGTAAATAGTAATTTATTTAAATACTACACCTCACATACTACTGAGCCTGTCTGGGTAGTGCACATCTGTAATCTCAGCACAATATGAGGCTGAGGCCGGAGGACTGCAAGTGTGAGCCCAGCCTGCATAACTTAGCAGGCAGTGAGACCCCGTCTCAAAATGAAAAAGAAATGGCCGGGGATATAGCATAATGCCTAGGTTCTGGGTTCAGTTTCCAGTACTATCAAAAAAAGGGTTTTTTAAAAAAAATTCTTTCTTGGTTTGCTTTTTGAAATAGAATCTTGCTACGTAGTTCAGGCTGGCCTTGAACTCACTATGTAGCCTGAACTGGCCTCAGACTCGCAGCAGTTCTCCTGCCTCAGCCTCCTGAGTGCTGGGAGTATAGGAAAAGTGATCTTTTTTTTTTACTCCTATCATTTAATAAGTATGGTTAAAGAAATACTAGTAACATCACAGGAAGGTTTCTTGATTTGCCCTTTTTATTTCATATATTGACAGATAATTTCTGATTAAGGTTCACAACTAAAACTGGCACTCACAAAAGGATCTACATAACATAGGTGCTTTTAGTATTCAACAGACAAAAATTCTAACTTTAATAGCTCCTTGTAATTTATACCTGAACTATGTGTCTAATTATTTCACTATGTGGTCAAATGAGTGTTAGCCTAAGGGTCTTTTGAAAATAAGACTGCATCTTATTTATGTTTCGAAGAGAACTTCTATCCTATGGGTCTAAAATAGTGTATCTCTACAAACCTGTTGTTTAAGGTAAAAGTAAAAGATGTTTCTGCTACTGATATTTGATGATATGGGATGAGGGAAAAGATAGAACAATAGATGTTTATTGTGCTTTATCCTGAGTGTTTATCGTGCCTTATTGTTTTCAAAACTAAAGTGGGGGGCTGGAGATTTAGCTCAGTGGCCTATGTGCCTGTCTCGCAAGCTTGAGGTCATGAGTTCAATCCCTGGTACCACCAAAAACAAAAAACAAAAAAAACTAAAGTAGGAAAAAATGCAGCATGATTTATTATTACCATCAGGATAGGTGTTGTCCTTGTAACACAGGTTAAATTTTAGAATAAAGCAAGTAACATGTCACTTGAACCTTAACTCATTTCACTTATCTAAGACTCCTGCAAGTACTCATGTTTCCTTTGACTTGAGAACATTGATGGAGTAGTAGTAAAGCTAATTCAAATATGTGTATATAAACACTAGGATTAAAGAGTAGTAGGGCTTAGTTGGTAACTTTATTCTCAGAATTAGAAAAGGGACAAAAAGCTGATTTAGAGTTCCTTGGAACTTGTGATCATTTAATCTTAAAAGGAAAAGCATAACTTTAAGACTCTCTTCCTGTTTTTAGATGTTAAGTTTTTCATGGTGGCTAAAGGAAATATTAAACATTTTAATTGTCTGGTCTTTAAAGAGTAGGATACTACCTCTTTAAGGACAAGATTATGAGATACATCTTGTTCTCCTTGGCTTACAGTGGCAATGTACCAAAATAAGTAAAGATGAAAGTAGAGCCTTGAAAGTGTTTATATACCATCTATAACCGTTCAGTTCATTTTTAGAATTTGCTTCCCTAGAAAAAAATTCATTTTCTAAACTCTTCTTTTTTTTAGGCACTTATCAGGCTTTATCTGGACAAGGCCACTTTAGTATGGAATGGAAATGTTGTTACTGGGCTGGACGCCCTAAATAATTTTTTTGAGATGTTGCCTTCTAGTGAGTTCCAGGTTAATATGTTAGACTGCCAGCCAGTGCATGGTAAGATCACAATTTTTCAAAGACTTCCTTTTTCTTTCGTAAGCCCTCAACTTTCACATCAGAAGTATCTAGAAACTTGTATTGATAGACATATTTACATATTTGACCAAGGTAAGTTTCATAAAAATTTCAGCTGTCCATTCAAACTTTTGGTCTTATTTTAGATGTATCTCTTTTCAGAGACCCACTAACAGGTTTCAATGAATTGTGACTGTAGCTTATTAAGTTGTACAAAAAATTAAGAATCAGTTTGATTTTTGTCAAATAGAAATTATATCCAGAGAATACTTATGCCCTATCTCTGATTAATATGTTTTACAGTCTATTGAAATTTCACTGTTACATGAAAGAATAACTTGGCAAGACAGAGCTTGATTTAGTAGATTGGTGCAGTTCATAATATTTACCCCTAGGTGGAGTACTCAATGTCTTTAATTGTTCAGGGTGATTTTTTTTCTATATACCATAGTTCTTGAAGAATAACAAGCACAAATATGAATAAGCTATACTAAAAACCTAATGAAATATTAATGCATTATATCTATGCTATATATAAACTCTTACTTAGAGTACTCCTAAATCTTTCTGGATTGAAAATAGTTTTAATATTTTTAAATGAGTAATTATTTTCTGGCTCTGAATGTACATGTTTAATATTATAATCAAGGTAAAGAATGTTTGTGAAAATTTTTTAACATTAGATCATATGAAATGGACTACGGAAAAATGGTTTACAGACAAAAACTGACCTCTTTCTTTGTGTGTATGTGTGTTAAAGAACAAGCTACGCAGTCCCAGAGTACAGTTCTTGTGGTGACCAGTGGAACTGTGAAATTTGATGGAAACAGACAGCACTACTTTAACCAAAACTTCCTGCTGACTGCGCAAGTCAGTCATAACAGCACCGTGTGGAAGATTGCAAGTGATTGCTTCCGTTTTCAAGATTGGGCTAATGGTTAAAAGGGCAAAAGTCAATTATTTAGGTCCTTTAGGTCCAGCAACAGAAGTTTATCTGAATTCATTAATTTCATTGTACAAGTGCCATAAGTTAGTATGTTCTGAAACTAAAATTCTTTAATGTTTTCTTATTTCTCATAGCACCTTTTCTAGTAACTGCCGGTTTGAATTATTGCCCGTAAGAGCTTTAATGCTTGTTTTTGACATGCCTTATATACATTGCACTGATGACATTCTTAAATTAATATTAAACGTGATTGTGGTACTAACATACTCACTGTGAACACAGCCTATTGCAGAAATCCTTTTGTAATACTATCTATGGGATGTCAGCACAATATAACACTCTGGGAAGAAGTAGAATTTTTTTGGTTACTATATTTGACATAAAACACATGCCTATTTTCAGTTAACACTCATAATGCAGTTTTAATATGTAAGTGTAGCCTTTTCAAATCAGTTCAGTTTAGCTTTGCAAAAGTACTCTGACACACTGAAATTACATGTAGAGATGTTCAGTAGTCTTTTTCCTATTAAGTTTTCTTATGTGGACATTTCCCTTATCAAGTGAATTAACTAGACAAATGAAAATTTTTTTCCACTGATGCTTGATTCTTAAGTACATTTAGTGGCTTAAAAGCAAAACCCTAAAACATTTTTCTTGGCAGCTTCAGGTCTGCATATTTTGGGAATGTGTGGTAGTAGAACCAATACTTCTAATGAGAGAGGGAGAAATGCAAAAATCCAAGGTTAAAGACAAAAATAAGAGGTGAACAAATGGTAATATTTTGGTACTTATTTTGTATCTTCTACAAATACAGCCTATTTTGTGATTTCAATTAATAAGTCAATAAGTATTATTGTAAATGGTCATGAGCATCACTTGTGTTCTGAGAATTGTCATCAATATATATCTCAATTTACTCAAGAATTTATGGGGTAAAATGAAAGCAATAAGCCTAACTTGTTAGGGTCTAATAGGAAAGTTGGAAACAAAGTCATTCCTCTGTCTTTGTTACACCCTTTACTTCTTAAGCCTTCCATGTGAACTTCAGGCCCAGAGACTTCTATGTATTATCCACCCCAAAATGAGTGATTTCCCCACTCTGTTTTGTACAGTCAACTGTGTCTATTACTTAAATTAAAATTAATCTTATGATTTATTCTTCCGTATGGCATTGGACAAAGAGATCTGTTTCAGAACACTTTTATGTGACTAACCCATTGTCTTTTAAAAGGGAAAACAGAATAACAGATTTTATATCTGTACTTCTGAAGAAAAAAAAGCTAGCTCTGATTTATGGATAATATGTACTAGTCTTTGCAATTTTGTAATGTTTTTAAGCTAGATATACCAGCTTTGTTTATATATTACAACCAAAAGTAATGCTTCTATTAAATTCATTTCGTTTTCCCTAATACTATACACTGTGTTTCTGATAATAGTACCAAAATGGAAGTGAATAGAAGGGAATGGAACTAATATTTAAACCACACCTTGTTAAACTGAGCAAAATTTAAACATTATAGTATTCTACTCAAAAGTGAGATGATTCTTATTTTTGATTTTTTTTTAAAACCACAGCTTTAGCAGCGATAAAAAATGCCCAAATACTGCCCTTTCCATTATGGAGAACAATCTCAAATAAAAGCTGTGTATAACTGGCAATAACTGGACAACTGTAAAATACTTTCTCTAAGCTATAACTTTGAAATAAATAGAAATTCTCTTATATAGACAAGACTTATTTTTGACATGTTCATATTTTTATAACTTGAAAAATAAAAAGTTTTCTCAATATTTTATGTGTTTTGATTTTTAAGACTCAAAAACTCATTTCTTTACAATATAAGGGTTTTTAGATTTTTTTAAAAAATCATGTTTAAATGTTGAAAACAGTTTTTAAAAACTTGGACTTTTTCTTTTTTCTTGCAATAGCCCATTACTGTTCTTTTTCTACCAAATATTTGCATTCCTGAGATCACCTATTTGATGTAGCATTAAAATTTTTGGTGAGAAGTCGGAAAGCTTAACCTTGAGAAACTAGCCAAAACGCTGTATTCAGTAGGCAGTGAAACTAAAATATAACTGAGTTCCATAAAGAATGCCATTAACGGGGCTGAAGATTTAGCTCAGTGGCTTAAGCACCTGCCTGGCAAGCACAAGATCATGAGTTCAATCCCCGGCACCAAAAAAAAAAAAAAAAAAAAAGAATGACATTAACTGCAATTCTGCATTTAAAAATATGTCAGTAGACATTTGAAGAACAGTGAGAAGTAATGGCCTTTACAATCAAATAGCATTTTAGTTTCTTTATGGATGCATGTGATTTTCACACTTAAATCTCTGAAAGTGGTATGGACCTTAAATTGATGCCATTATCACTGTTTAATCATCTTTCCCCCTTCTTGCTCATGCTTAAAATGATGCTAAGTATTATAATCAGCAACATCTTATGTGACTGAAATAGTTAGAGATTTTACCTGAGTAAAATGGTTAGTCATGTGTTACATAGGTCAATTTATCATTGTGGAGAACTAAAAGATAGAAAACTACAGAGTACCATTGAAATAATGTCTCCTGGAGGCCTTAGGATGTAACATAAATGTAGGGTTGAGATACATGCATACTTCAGATAGGTAGCCTTCAAATTTTTTTCTCTGACTCAATAGTGATTACATTTTTTATTACAACTCAGTGTACTGTTTCATAAGTAAAGCAAGAAAATATATTCAAAAACTCATGCTTAGGATTTGTAATGAATTTTCTATTTTGGTTTGCTAGTTCTTTGAAAATGCTACTCATGCCGGGCATGGTGGCACATGCCTGTAATCTCATCACTTGGAGAGCTGAGGCAGGAGGATCATCACCATAAGTTTAAAGCCAGTTTAGGCTACACAGTGAGTTCAAAGCCAGTCTGAACTACATAGTGAGACCTGTCTCAAAAAAAAAAAGAAAGAAAGAAAAAGAAAACTACTAGTAATAAACTGCTCAGTTGATCTTTACAACTTCTTAAAGGATTGTGTGAACAGTCTGAGAAACAAAAAATTGAACAAGCATATTTCCACTCATTTTTTCTTCAGGATATAGAGTCAGATTTCCTAAGGTGGTGCCATGTGTCAGTGATGTCACCCTAAATTACAAGTGATTAAACACTTCTCACAAGCTTGACTTCTGTTTTGAGGACCACAAAAGAAATCACTTTTCCTTCCATTTCTCTATTTGCACCAGAAGTCCAAAGATAAGAAAGTGAATGTTCTGATTAGAGGCAGAATCTGGAAGTACAATAAGTGACAATGAAAGGAAGTAAAACAGAAGAGGCAACCCTGTTTCATATGCTCATGCAGAGAATTAAGACATTGCAGCAGAACTACTTTGCACATACTTTGATATTGTATAAGCAGTTATTTCAGTAGATTTTTAAGTCAATTTCATGTATTTTCCCTTTCCTCCTTAAATGCCCCAAACATCTGCATATCCAACTCTGTTTTGACAAAGGTGATGATGGTCTCTAAGAGGCAAGGTCTTACACCCATAGGAGATCTGCCTCTTCTTGTCCCTTGTGCTGTGTGGCTTTGGACAATTCACTTTGAGTCTCTTATCTTCAGCTGTGAATGGGACACTGCCCTATCTGGCCTAGCAGGTGATGTGGTAATATAACACAAAAACATTAAAATATTTGCAAAGTGCCACATGCTGTACAAATGCAATGATTATTTTTTGACTTGGAGATTGGCTTCCTGCCTTCCCTAATTTCTGTTTCTTTTAGGATAAATTGATAAAGACTACTGTCCACAACCAGATACTCATTCTAAACCTTGCCACTGCCTTTAAAGACAGTTATTCCATCTCCATAAAAAGTCTTAGATCAGTGTAGACAGAGCTGAGTATGTTGCTATTTTTAAAAAAAGATTTAGGCTTATTTTTGTCCTTTTTTAGTGTCATAACAAAAATATTTTTAAAATGAAGTTTTCTCTCTTATGTACATTAAATATATTACATATTTTTATATGACTCAGGACAGTTTCTCGTCACTCAAAACAAAAATGACATGACACAGGTTGGACCATCTTGATTATGGGCCTTAAAGAAAAACAGTGATAGTCACTTGCAAATATATTTTTGATAAGTCTTTCTCTAACCAGAAAAAAAGTAGACTGTAACATTATTAATTTCAGGGGTTTTTTTGCTCAGGGGTGGGAAATCAGCAAGAGAAGCTTGCAACATTTAACCAAACCCATATACTCTGGTCTTCCTTGGAGTCCTAAGCTCCCAGACATAGCCAACATGGTCTTTTTCCTAATCTTTTGTCCCCCAAATCCTAGCTTGTTGATTCTGAAATAGTAGCTGGTAACAATTTATCTAATCTGTTAATCTATTCATTTGTGATACCCAAGATTTCCAGTGGTCTAGGCCCAATCTCAGAACTAGTAAATCATTGGCTTTGGATCATTTTAGAGAGAAACTTCAAGCCTGAGAAAAGAGAACAGAGGAGAAATTATCTGAAGCGGAGGTGCTGTGGGAAGTAGGGATACTTTGGGAGACATTGTTCTCCAAATGAAAACAAAAGGTGGCAAGAGAAATTTGTCGTTTACATTTCTATATTTACATTTACATTTACAAATACTGCCTGGGAGGCCAATGGCAAAACTAGGACCTGAGAGGCCTATTTCTATGCCTCATTCTCCCATCATGAGGCATTGTACCTTAAGACTTCCCAAAGCTTACCCTGTTGCACACTCTGAACCTTCTCTCCCCTCTTGAATTCTTTTCCATCTTATTCAAACTTCTTTGCCCTGGAAAATGTTCCCTCCTATCTTTCAAGCTAAGTTAGCTCTCTCATAGACTTACTATATAGAGTCATTTGTCTTTTATGTCAAGGACTTGTATTAGTTACAATTCCCATTGCTAGGCAAAAAAATTACCTAATACCCACAATTTTAAGGAAGAGAGGTTCATTTAGCTCATGGTTCCAGAGAGTTCCATCCATGATTACCTGGCTCAAAGAAACATCGTAGCAGAAAGGCATGATAGAGCAAAACTGCTTAGTTCATGGTGACCATGATGCAGAGGTGGTTGAATGACTGCCAGAGGTGAAGGGGCCAGGAGCCGGATAGTATACCGAAAATCATGCCGCCATGACATGCCCAGAAGAATGCTTTACTAATTCCCTAAGTGATTCCCAAACCAATCAAATTGACAATTAAGCTTAACCATCACAGGAGCATGGCATTTTAAATATAAGTACTTCAGGTTGACTAAGTAGTAAGTTATTTAGCCATTTTTTGTCAATGGATATATCATTTTTCCATCTTTTTTCTGTTAAAAATGCAATATTAAATGTCTTTAATTTTGCACACAGTGAACTCATACTTAGCGAATACAGTTCTAAAAGCGCAACTCTTGGATTAAAGGATAAACACATTTTTAAACTTAATTACAACTATCAAATTTCCTCCAAAGAAGCTCTACCAATTCATATTCTCCAAAATGTATAGGAATAATCATTTTCATATACTCTTATTCATGCTGGACATTTTTAATTAAAAATTTTTCAAGCTCATGGATAGAAAAACAATATATTTTAGTTAATATTTCTTTACTAGAAAAGGTGATAACTAAAATTCATGCCTCTATTCATGATGTCTAAACATGTAACTCAGAGCAATTCAAATGTCTAATGGACAACTCTAAATTTTTAACATGTTCAAAATTAATATTCTAATTTGGAGAATTTCAAAGTAGGACTAAAATATGGATAATGGTAACATTTGAGATAAAAAGAATTAACCTGTCCAAACTGAAATGATCCAACCCTTAAACCCGCTCAACCTACACACTGTCCTACCTTTGACAAATGGCAACTTCATTCTTTCAATTGTTTAGGACAGAAAGCTGCAGGCACCCACAACCGTGTCTTTTTCTCTGAAATCTACATATTCAGGACACTTCTCACTAAATCTACCAATAATCCTGGTCTAATCCATTGTCACCTTTTGACTATTTTTGTTGAAACATTCTGTGTACTATCTTATCTTCCTGACCCTATACTGCCTAACTCTACTCCCAATTTAACAGCAAAAATAATCCTTTAAAATACACAAGTCAGATCATGTCACTCCTCTTCCTAGAATTCCCTCTCTACCCTACCTTTTCGTATCAGTTTAAGTGAAGATATATGTTCTTTCAGTTGTCTGAAATCTCCTCATGACCTGGCCCCTTCTGCCTATCTGATATTATCCTCAGACTCACTCCACTCCAGCCACTTAGCCTCTTTTTTGAATGTGGACTATCTGAAGGAAAAAAACATCTTGTGGTCTTTGCCTCTACCCACAATGCTGTTCTACTTGCTATTTCTCTCACATTTCAGGCCTCTTCTGCTTGAATGTGATCTAATTAGAGATCCTCCCTACTGATCCTTTTTAAAATAACACTTCCTCCATCACTTTCTACTAGGGTACTTGCACCACCAATCTGTGTGTGTGTGTGTGTGTGTGTGTGTGTGTGTGTGTAGATAAATACATATAAATTTTATTACTTGTCTCCATCCACCAGAATATAAATTCCAAAAGGCATATATTTTGTTCATTGCAGAATTTGCGGTACTTATTATTGTGCTTGGCATGTAGCAGCTGCTCATTAAATATTTATTGAATGAGTGCATGTCCAAGGTTGAGCATAAGGAATGTGTAGTGCTCTATTTGTGAGCTGCTGCTTCATATTCTTTGCCTGTTTTTCCATTTGTTGTAGTCAGGGGTTGTGTGGAGAACAATTAGAATCAAGACATGAAATTTATAA